TGGCACCAGTCTTGGACATTAAGAAGTCATCAAGACTGTGATACTCGTTGAAACATCGGACATGGCACGGAACGACCTGACACGCTATGCACCAAGTCATCACCATTTTTCTTTTCTGTTCTCTTTTGGTTGTTGACCAGCATACAACACACGCACGCACGCTGGCCTACTGCACGCTTTCCAGTTGGTGGTAAAAACCTGAGATTGTGTGTCATAAAGGCATCCCTGTAAGTGAGCCTGGGTGTTGGATCATGGTGCAATACCGGGTTCAAAATGGGCCTCTGTATGCCAGGAATTACTTTGCCAAACTTCTGTAGTAATTGTGTTACTACAGTGAAATTGAATGCACAGAAATTACGTTTACCACCTGTTTTGACAAGATACATATTTTAACTGTTCAGCATTGTTACGTCAACGAGGTGGAAAAACATTTTCTTGGTCCACTTCACTGTTTTCCGTACACACTCCACTGCCCCCACCATCATATCACATTTATCCACCAAACGCATGTTGATGTTATAGTCCAAGATACAATCAGGCTTATAGATTAGTTCTCTGGTGGTTCTGTTCACCTTGCCACTGTCCAGCATTGTTCCAGCATGAATGGTGGTCAACATGTTCACTTCACGCCTGTCTTTCCACCGCACTGAAAGTATTCCACCTGTTTTTCTGAGCTCGCAATCACCAACCTGCATAGCACCTGGAAACACTGGCATTTCCCTTCGTTTTGCCTTCACTGTGCCACACACTCCAGCTCTATTATCAAGCAAGAACCTAGTTAGCAAGGGACTGGTATAATAGTTACCTGTGTACAATATGTGGCCCATGTTCAGATATGATGCAAGCAGTGACTTCACAACACTACCTAAGAGGCCATGTTGGTCATTAGCAGGAATGTCTACATTTGTACCCGTATACATTATCATATGTAACACAATTCCTGTTTCACAGTCACAGAGTACAAAGAATTTCAATCCAAATCGGTGGCATTTGGAGGGAATATACTGCTTGAAGGCAAGACGTCCTTTGAAAAGCACAAGGGATTCGTCCATCACAAGCTTCTGAGCTGGTACATAGAAATCCCTGTACTTTCCGATAAGTTCATTCAGGACGTGCCTTACCTTCTAAAGCCTATCATCATCATTCCTGTCTTCATCATTTGCAAAGTGAAGACACCTGCTAGACAGACTTACTGCTAGAATCCACTCAGTAAAACATCTAAACTATTGGGACCGACTAAAGAGCCTAAATCTGTACTCCCTTGAGTGCAGGCGGGAGAGATACATAATAATTTACACGTGGAAAATATTAGAGGGGCTGGTCCCAAACCTGCACACAGAAATAACATCACATGAGACCAGAAGACATTGCAGGATGTGCAGAATACCCCCGTTGAAAAGCAGAGGTGCAACAAGTACTCTGAGAGAGAACTCTATCAACATCAGAGGCCCGCGACTGTTCAACACGCTTCCGCTACACATAAGGGGCATAACTGGCAATCCCCTCACAGTGTTCAAGAGAGAACTGGATAAGCACCTCCAAAGGATACCTGATCAACCAGGCTGTGACTCATACGTCAGGCTGCGAGCAGCCACATCCAACAGCCTGGTTGATCAGTCCAGCAACCAGGAGGCCTGGTCGATGACCGGGCCGCGGGGATGCTAAGCCCTGGAAGCACCTCAAGGTAACCTGAGGATTATCGCAAATCGGTCTCGAGACATATATTTGCCGAACATTGGTGTTGGAACAGTATGGTGTTTGCTCCAATAATGGTCGATTACGTGTTTGACACAATGTTTCATCAACATACACAGTGCCAAAAACACATACATTTCACCTACAATCATATCTTTCCATCGCTGCAAACGCGAATAATCGGATAACTTCTCCTCATCAATGAGATCACTCGCATATTTGTTCGTCTCATGAACAAGATGTTCCATTAGCGGCTCATCAAAATATGCAGTAAAATAGTCCATTTCACACATATCTGCACCTTTATCAGGGAAAATGTCTGTAATTCCAACATCCGAATTATCAAAAACAGGAATTTGAGGAACAAAATCTGTCCCATCACTCCACACAAAAACACCGGGAGTCTTTCTAGAGCCAATAGCGGCACCACGGCGAGGAAACCGTGTACCAGGAGCTGAAGCAGGTCTAGGAACAGTAGGGGCGGGCAGGGACGGTGATGGAAAATTCCTCGATGTTGAAGGTCTTTGTTCATGTGGTGCCATGTGGTGCCGCATGGCTTGGCCAGATGCTGTTGATGTGACAAATTGTCGCTTGGCAACACCTCACACTCCTCCACTGGCACTAGCGAAACTATTTTCCGATTCTAAGTCACTAAAACCAGAAAATGATTCACCTTCTTCAGAATCGTCGAGCAAAACATCAATATCTTGCAAGGGAGCACATGAACCGGGTGGCCTTGCACAAATTGGGGTCAAGTGAGGGCGAGAAAACATGGGCGAGATGCTAGGCCTAGCCCTGGTGGAGCCAGCATGTTCACACTCGTCGTCGGTCGTATCCACCTCCGAGGGCTGTGTGTAGTCATGATCAAAGTCTAAGTCAAAGTCATCAAAATCAAAGTCAAAGTCTATATCAGACTCATCACCATCCGGGAACCAATTACGAGTAATTTCGTCCTCGGTCAGAGGTCACGAGGAACGCCTCGCTGAGCGGGGTCGGTCGTCGGAACTTGATGCGCTCGCCATGGTGTCCGCCGGGTAACTGAGGTCTGTACACAACGGGGACCCACGCTGGATTTTTTTCCCAGGCGGGGTTTGTTTATGGTCGGTTGAGGCTCGCCGATGACTACCCCTATCCCACGCGGGGCGTTTAAATTATAGCGCTAGACACGAAATCATATATAAATGATGTGCGCGGTTTCGGTTTTGTCACTGATATCATATATATATATGATATGCGCGGTTTGAGGGTTAAACTGCGCAACACGTCATATGCAGGGTTGAGTAACTTGCAATAAATTGTGCAGATGCGATGGAGTACTACGCAAGATTTAAACAGCCCAGGGATACACGGGGTTCACCACACTTTCATCAGGGCTCTTGTAAACAGATGCCATTAAAAAAAAAAAATATCGTGGGCCACATTCCCGGGTGTTAGCGCCTCAGTAGTGATTGAGCCACCAAGGCTGATGCACGTAGCACGAGCTCACAGCACTGCTGTTCAGCTTGTGACCACAGCATCGCTTAAAAATACCATATTATATATATTTATGCTATTATTTAGCAATGATAGTATTATAGAAGACCCCTGACTGTGATAAAAGTGACCAGGATTCTGGTAATAGCAGGATTGTTGTGATAATTAGTGCTGTAGTGGGAGGAGTAATCTTGGTGGGAAGGGAGGTAGCATTGTCTGCTGACTATGTGAGACCACCTTTTACTGTCTGGATTCACTTTACCAGCTTAGTTGTTCGCTATGGACCTTGAATGTGTGAGGGAGGCATCCGTCAGCTGACTGTGTGTAGCAACGTCTCTTAGTGCCTGAACTAACTATATCAGCTTAGTTGTACAGTTGTTTATCTTGAGATGATTTCGGGGCTTTTTATTGTCCCCGCGGCCCGGTCTTCGACCAGGCCTCCACCCCCAGGAAGCAGCCCGTGACAGCTGACTAACACCCAGGTACCTATTTTACTGCTAGGTAACAGGGGCATAGGGTGAAAGAAACTCTGCCCATTGTTTCTCGCCGGCGCCTGGGATCGAACCCAGGACCACAGGATCACAAGTCCAGCATGCTGTCCGCTCGGCCGACCGGCTCCCTTGGTGTGGTGGTGAACAAGTTGTTGAAGAACAAAGAGTTGTGGTGAACAAAACTTGTAGATACCTATATATAATGTCTGTATATAGTGAATAAAAGCAAAAACAGTATTGTGAGAGGAGAATGTGGGCGAGTCAGGTGAGTTGATGGAGGTAGGAAATGGCAGCCAGTGGTGGGCTGCCACTGGCTGCCACTGCCACTCAGCATGCCAACTTAATGGTTTGTTATGGTGAACATGAATGTAGATACTTATATATAACGTCTGTATATAGTGAATAAAATAAAAAACAGTATGGTGGGAGGAGAATGTGGGCGAGTGAGGTGTTGAGGGAGTGAGTAACAGCGAGTGGCTGGCTGGTGTGTGGCGATCACTCCTCGTTGCTTTTTGACTCATAATAGCAACTTAGTGGTTCGTTATGGTGAACAAAACATGCAGATACTTATATATAATCTGTGTATATAGTGTAATAGCCGACAAATTATTTGTTCACTGTTTGATGAACATAATAATTGAAATCAACAATATGCACACCATAATTTTGAGTACAGCAATGATTCACTCATTTTATTATATAAATATATCACACTACACACTATTGAATAATATTACAGCAAAAAAAACTACGAAAAATCAATCGGAGACATTGAAATAATTAGGTAATTATCTCTTTGTGGCCACTCCTGCCTGACAGCTGGGAGCAACAGATCGTCTGGGACGCACGCTGAGTCAGCGCCTGTTTTTGGCCAGACTTCCCCGCCCTATAACGGGCAACATATGCACTTACGATTTTTGTATTATTTTTCCCATGATCAGAGAACACAAATTAACAGGTTTAGAAGAAATTTTTTTTTTTTTTTTTTTTTTGGTATGCACCTGTGGGTGACAAATGCTAATTAGCCCTGAACAACACAAGGGTTAAGGGAAATACTCAGCAGATGTTTGATGTGTGCAGGGGATGAAGATACTGTAATAGAATTACAGTAAACAGAAAATCAACACAATAGTGAATGAGAGGAGTAGGAATAATAAGTCTTGGTAACTTGAGGTAATAAGTGGAATAGAATAGGACAAAATGTTATAGTTATTAAGCTGCCTAACTCTTTTCATCACCTACCATGGTAAATGTTCTGAATCATTTCAAAGGGGAGTTCCTAGGAGGAATGAAATATGAAAGATGACAGGTAAAAAAAAAGTATATAGATTATAATTTAACCTTTGGAACATTTTCCTCTGCATCGCGAACATCTTGTGGCTGCCAGCATGACAATACTGCCTTTAAAGCTTCAGGTTTCATGCCTTCGTGATCTCCTTGTACTGCTAAGTAACGTGGTTTATATGGATTCAGCTGTAGAAGAAAAAAACCAGCGTTGAATGTAATGAAACGTCATTTTTCTAGGCAAGACCCGGAGGCTTCCCAGAGCTATCCGGGTTGATATGAATGCATTAAACCCTGGCATCGGTCAAAACGAATGGAGTTCTTGCCTACCAGGGACCATGAGCCAGGACCTGGCCCCCTCAGAGAGGCACGAGGAACAATGGCCTATAGAAACCCCAGTGTGGTTGGAAGCATTCTATGTCTGCCATCGACTGGGTCAGGCACCCAGAAATATAAGAGCCCCAAAACAAACCCCTATTCTGGTTAAAATATTGGTACTAAAAGCCAAACTAGTGAACAGAACTCCCCAAATGAAAACAAGCAAACGAGCATGATGTCACCACGTTGTCGCACCGCTGCCTGCACAACAACCCCACCCCCCTCCCCCTCCCGAGGACTCCCCCTTGCCAGCTATCCACCCTACAATTCTGAGGTTGGATGTTAAAACTGCAAAAAAATACTGACCAGAGTGGAGGGAGGGTTGCCGGGAAGCCTCCAGGTCTCACTCAGAAAATAGTCTTTCATTACATTCAATGCTGGTTTTCTGGCGGGAGCCCCTTGGGCTCTCCTGAGCTACTTACCAAAAGACAAAACACAGGAGGCGGTCAGCACTCGCTCCTCAACTCGAAGTCGAGACAACTGGTTGTAACCTCCGACCCAAAGCTACACAGACTCGACTAGGCCTAGGAATATTGACAAGGTAGTGAGCAGCCAGGACCCTGTTTGACCTCCTAAACCCCAGTGCCCGAATGTCAGCCCAAGACATGTTACCCAAGACGGCAGCCAACGGCGCAAACTTACGAACATCGTGGGCATAGGAACAGACCACAGGCTGGCTGGACCGAATAACCCTGTGGACAACCTGTGAGACTCAAACCTTGGAACAGGGAAGAAGGGAAACCAGGTCAACCCAAAGAGCGTCCCCGGCCACCGAGGTCGTGGTGCAGAAGTAACGGTGCAGAGCCACGACCGGACACAACACATGATGCACCCCTGGCCAAACAAACCAAGCATCAACAATCCAAGGACCCCTCCAGAAAGCAAGAGTTTCAGGAGGCCTGGTCGACGACCGGGCTGCGGGGACGCTTAGCCCCGGAAACATCTCAAGGTAACCACCTCAAGGTAGGTGTAGGTTTATTCTTCGCGAGAAAAGGAGAAGATGGCTGCAAACGAACAAACCTACCACCAGGACCAAAAGAGCAGAAACCCCCTATGCTGGAGGAGAGCATGAAGTTCCCCGACTCGACCCCCTTGTTGGCATTGGCCAGAGTCCAATGCCAACAAGAAAAGAGCTTTGGAGAAACAATCCTGAACCAAAGGGGCAGCTACAGACCAAGGGGAAGAGAGAAAAGAGAGCACCCGATCCAAGGACCAGGACAGCTCAGGTGGCGCATGAGCAGACCAGAGATAAAACAATGCCCAAAACAGCTTGCAGAACTGTGCCGAAGTAACGTCAATGCCGAGCACAAGCTGCAGCAGCTCTGTCAGCGCCGCACGATATGAAGTGACAGTATTCAGTATCAAATGATGGTCCTGAAACAACCACGAGAGAAAGAACAAGACAACCTGAACAGAGACAGAAGTAAGCCGGTGAAGGGACAAGAAATACGTAAGGACCACCAGGAAACTTCATACTGCTGCCAAGAAGCATGCAGGTGGGACACCAATAACGAAGCCACCTGCTCACCATACAAGCGGTGATAGACTCGAGTCAGTAAGACCATACACAAAGACATGAGGAGAAGATTGAACCAGCCTCGTAACAGACAAGTTCAATCTGCTGAAAGAGGCAGAGCCGCAGGAGGACCCTCGGATTTGGACACCGAGCAAGCAGTGCCTGAAACCAAGGCTGGGCCAGTTACCAAGATGCCAAGAGGACTACTCTCCCTTAGTAAGTCTCCAAGCGAGTTAGGACCTGGAGCAACTGCTGAACCAGGAGGAAAAGGTACAGGTAACCTCACCTCAACCAGTCCCACCGCAAGGCATCAACCCTAACGGCCTCGCAGTCGGGAAAGGACACCACATATACCGGGAAATGCCACAACCATGTCAACGCAAAGAGGTCCACCTCCGGGAGTCCATACACCTGGCAAAGCCAACTGAATGAGTCGGCGTCCACAGTCCATTCCATGAAAAGGGCAATGAACCAAAACAGGCAGTCCATCAGGACGTTCAACACCCACCAAACGTGAACGATCAGGCGAGTCAAACCCCGAGAACTCAGAAGACGAGTCACCTGAAGCAACCAGCCCCAAAGAGCCAAGGACCACATCGAACCCCCTTCATTTCAGGCAATGAACAACTGGGGAGCAGCCCGAATGGATCAGGATCGACAATCCCTGGGCAACCCGAAACCTCTAAAGCGACTCCCCACACTGCTGCAAACTCCTGCACCGTGCTGTGGTCCCGACGGAAGGACGGACCCCAATGCTCCTGGCTGGCCTGATGAGCACTTGTCACAAAGCCTCAGCCAAGAAACGACGCCTCAGTGAAAACATTGAGCGAGGGCTTGGGTAGATGCCAAGGCACTGAACCTTGAAAACCCCGAAGAGGAAGCTGGTGACGCAGCAGCCGATGCAAGGGACCCGGAGGCCGAACCCAGCAATCGCGAGAGAGGCGGAAGGTGGCGTCCCCGAAGGAACCAGAACAGCCGACGAAGCCAAACCTGACCTGGCTGGAAGACCATCACGGTGAAGTTCAGGCTCCTGCATAAACCTTAGAGCAACCACCGGGTGACCCGGGAGCCCTCCAGAAACAATCGAAGGCGGGACTGCAGCCGAAGCAGAGATTCCGGAGGGAGAGACAAGGAAGTGGTCCGAGTATCCCACACAAGATCCAGCCAAGACTGAACCTGAGAGGGAATTAGATAAAACTTCCTCCAGTTCACCAGGAATCCAAACCCGGGGAGCTGGGAAAGAATAAAATCCCTGGCAAGCAGACAAGCGGACTGGGTGGGAGCCCACACCAGCCAGTCGTCGAGGTAGGCTAGAACCTGATCCCCTAAAAGATGCAGACAGGCCACCATGACCCAGGTAAGGCATGTGAACACGCGAGGTGCCAGATTCAAGACGAATGAAGGGCAATAAAAGCGGTAAGCCTGACTATCCCGCAAGAAAACAGAGCCAGTCCCTAAACCCCGGATGAATTGGAACATGCCAATAAGCATCCCGGTCCAGGAACACCATCCAAGAGAAGTTAGACCTGGGATAGAGTAGTAATCTGAAAGGAGGGGCAATAGACCCAGGGGTTCAGATGGGACAAGTCCAGAATGAACCTCAGGTCCGCACCCGAGACGGGAAACAGACAGAAAACAGACGGGAAACTCACCTGAGGGATGTCATCGTTTTAACCACGCCCAAGCACATCTACTCTGTGACGACCCGACAGAGCACCGGAGAAGAGGCCTGCCCTGCCAGCCCTGAACCCCCCCCCCCCCCCTGAAGAAGGAGGGGCTACCCAACGTCACTGCAGGCCATCGGTAACAACTCGAACAGCCCACAAATCCTGAGACCAGGCGTGAGCGAACAGCGCGAGCCTACCTCCCCATCGCCCCATCAATTGGATGAACCAAAAAAGGGCTGATGCCCCTTGCGAGAACCCAATATGCTAGGCAAGGAAGTGAATGAGATGTATGGCAAGTTTTGTGAAATATATGATAAAGGCACAAAAAAATTTATACCAAAACAGAGATGCAGAACTAGGAAACAGGATTGGTTCAATAGAAATTGCGAGAGGGCTAGAGACCGAAAGACACAAAAATGGAATCAATACAGGAAGAGGCCGAACCCCCAAACATACCAGCGATACAAAGATGCGAGAAACAACTACACGGCAGTGAGGAGAGAGGCTGAAAGAAATTTTGAAAAAGGGATTGCGGACAAATGTAAAACAGAACCAGGTCTATTCTATAAATTCATAAACAACAAATTGCAGGTAAAGGATAATATTCAGAGGTTGAAAATGGGAAATAGATTCACGGAAGATGAAAAGGAAATGTGTGAAACACTAAACGAAAAGTTCCAAAGTGTGTTTGTACAAAATGAAATCTTTAGGGAACCAGATACAATAAGAATTCCAGAGAACAACATAGAACACATAGAGGTGTCTAGAGACGAAGTGGAAAAAATGCTCAAGGAGCTCGGTAAGAACAAAGCAGCTGGCCCAGATGGCGTTTCACCATGGGTTCTGAGAGAATGTGCATCTGAGCTCAGCATTCCACTTCACCTGATCTTTCAGGCATCCCTGTGTACAGGAATCGTAGCAGACGGGTGGAAACAGGCTAACATAGTTCCAATCTACAAAAGTGGCAGCAGGGAAGACCCCCTCAATTATAGACCTGTATCATTGACAAGTGTAATAGTGAAAGTATTGGAAAAACTAATCAAAACTAAATGGGTAGAACACCTAGAGAGAAATGATATAATATCAGACAGACAGTATGGTTTTCGATCTGGAAGATCCTGTGTATCGAATTTACTCAGTTTCTATGATCGAGCCACAGAGATATTACAGGAAAGAGATGGTTGGGTTGACTGCATCTATCTGGACCTAAAAAAGGCTTTCGACAGAGTTCCACATAAGAGGTTGTTCTGGAAACTGGAAAATATTGGAGGGGTGACAGGTAAGCTTCTATCATGGATGAAAAATTTTCTGACTGATAGAAAAATGAGGGCAGTAATCAGAGGCAATGTATCAGAATGGAGAAATGTCACAAGTGGAGTACCACAGGGTTCAGTTCTTGCACCAGTGATGTTTATTGTGTACATAAATGATCTACCAGTTGGTATACAGAATTATATGAACATGTTTGCTGATGATGCTAAGATAATAGGAAGGATAAGAAATTTAGATGACTGTCATGCCCTTCAAGAAGACCTGGACAAAATAAGTATATGGAGCACCACTTGGCAAATGGAATTTAATGTTAATAAATGTCATGTTATGGAATGTGGAATAGGAGAACATAGACC